AGTTACTTTTTTGTGTTTGTGTGTGTGTGGTAAAAACACTTAAGATCTACCATTTTAGCTAATTTCAAATGTACAATACATTATTATTAATTACTGTCACTATGTTGTATGTACATTGGACCCCCCAGAATTTATTCATGTTACGACTTAAACTTTGTACCCTTTGAGCATCATCTCCCCATTGCCCTATCCCCCAACCCCTGGCCACCCACCACCATTTTACTCTCTGGTTCTATGACTTAAACGTTTTTTTTTTTTTTAGATTCCACATATGAGTGAAATCATACAGTAGTTATTTTTCTCTGTCTGGCTTATATCCCTTAGCATAATGTCCTCCAGCTCCATCCATGCTGTCGCAAATGACAGGATTTCCTTCTTTCTCATGGCTGAATAATATTCGATTGCATATACGTATCACATCTTTATCCATTCATCTGTTGATTAACACTTAAGTTGTTTCCATATCTTGGCTTCTGTGAATAATGCTGCAGTGAACGCGGGAGTGCGGATATCTCTCTGAGACCCTAACTTCATGGAAACCTTTTATTTCCATCATCTCACTTGACTGGCCTTTGGCAGAGATGCCATCTCGGTAAATATGGATGGGAGTGAGGCACAAGGAGATCATGCTTCAAGCCCAAGAGGTCATAGCTGCTGGCCTGAGCTGGGGCCAGACCCTGACTCTGAATTCTCCACTCGTTCCTCTACTCCCCGACAAACAGAGAATAAAAGCCACCAAAGAGAGAATTAACAGGAGAGAGTGGTGGCAAGAAGAGCACGCTGAAAAGTCACATTTCTCTGCCTGGTTATCTTTAGAGGAAGGGAAGAGTGGGAGCCGAGTTTACGTTTGTGCAAAGGGAAGATCCCTGAAAGGGAGAGAGGTGAGAGGGGGATTGGAAGTAGGTCAAGAGAGAGGGGAAGGTATTGCTCCAAATTTCCGATACGTGGGAGGAAGGATGCTTTGATCTGAGTCCCGAAAGGTACCTGGCAAGATGACCGTTGGAGAGGGTAACTGAGGACGAAAAGTCAAGGTAGGGAAAGAAGTGCCACCTGGACCAGTGACAGATCAGTAACAGGTAAGGGAGAGAAGCAATGCTCGGAGCCTAACCTTCTCTTGGAAGAGCCTTTTCAAGATCATCGTCCCTGTGCACAGGAATTTAAGGGCTTCCGTAACTGCTGGGGCATATTGTGACCAAGGAACATTATCTGTTAGCATTTAAGTTGTACTTGTGGGTGCAAAGGAGAAATTCGTGGTTCCTCAAATGGTTGGAGTTTCGAATCATTCCATAGAAGCCAAGCTGCCCACATATGAGAGCAAAGGAAGTGGATCGTAATTGTGTTATATAGAAAAGTGATGATTTCACAGACAATTTCACAGATGATCAGAAGTGTGAGAGGCTAGGACTGACTTGGTGGTTCTTAACTGGGGGTGACGTTGTCCCCCAGGGGACATTTGGCAATGTCTGGAGACATTTTTGGTGTTACAGCTCAGGGTGGGAGGGCATGCTACAGGTATTCAGTGGGTGGAGGCCAGGGGTGCTGCTGAGCATCCTCCAGTGAACAGCACGGCCCCCCAGAACAGAGACCTGTCCAGTCCCAATTGGCAGTAGTGCCAAGGCTCAGAAACCCTGCTGACTAACTCTAAGACGGCCAAGTTGAACATGACTCGTAATAAACATGTGTTCCCACATTACCTTGTCACACAGGTGACCTGATGAAGAAGCACAGTGCCTGTTGTGTACTAAGCACCCAGACAACTGTAGTTTTAAAATAAGAACATATATTTATTTATTTTCTATATTAACTGAAAAATGAAAATATTAGCTAGCTGGAAACACACCCCCACAGCATTCTGGCTCTCGCCTTCTCTGGTGTGAATGCTACACGTGGCATTCTTATGGGGACAGGAGGTTATTAAGCATACTCGTTTCTTTTCTATGTTACCTGTGTTGGTTATGGATTTGCTTGCCGTTAAATCCACTTAGGGAGCCCTGATGCGTCAACCCTAAGCGTTTCATAGGCATTACTAATGGGTGCCTTTAGTAATCTTCAAAACATCGAGTGTGTCTCACTTTATATTTAGAGATGGGTGCTAATTTTTGAATCCTTCTATTGCCTGTAAAACATCCCAACCATTTAAAAAATGGCTCACAGCCCTGCTTAATCACCTCTTTGGTTGAGTTAGAATGAGGAATTTCTAATTCAACATCAAAAGTAAACATTGGCTCTTGATTTCATGCCATTTTCTGTGACACTCGTTCAACTAGGCACTGCCCCCATGGTGCCTACCGTCCAGTTAGGGAGGAGAGCAGCCTTCCACTCTTACATCCGCCAAAGTTGTCAGTGGTTATTTACTCCTTTGCTCAGTCAACAAATGTTGACGATGTACTGTTAGAGAGTGTGTTCAGTGAGGAGTGCATTCCGGCAGCGTCTGTGACTCTAGGGTAGCTGTGGGCAGCGAGCCAGGCCAGAGTGATGTAAGAGTAGATGAAGGCTAAGGTCAAGATGGTTCTGCCAGTGCATACGCTGACAGACCCCTTTGTGCTGCTAAGACCTAGCGGTGAGAGTCAAGGCTTAAAGAGAGAACAGAGGTACAGCAGTGCTCCAAAAGGGCTCCAAGAGCCACCAAGGAACAGAAAGACAAAGTAATGAGTTCTGGCTCCTAGTCTCAGGGTCAGAGCAGGTAAAATCTCAGACTTGGCTCTGGGAGGTGTTGGGGGCAAGAAGCTGGCTCAGCACCCCCCCCCCCCCCCACCGCCCCCACTTCCAGCAGGAAGCAGGCTGGTTCTCTGGAGAAAGTGCATTGGGAAGGCTTGGGGCTCTGGACATCAGGCCCAGCTCAGGCCACAGGGAAAATGAGGGTTTGGAACAAGAAGACTAATGAACTTCTCTATCACAAATGGAGGGCATGTCAGCTCCTCCCCTTCCGGCAGCCCCAGAATGCAGCCAGCCCCAAGGACCCACACCCCAAGCAGGGGATTGGGATTCCTCAGTGGAGAAACAGGCCTACTAGAAAAGGCTCATAGGGCCTGACATTTGGAATTTCTCAAGGCCAAAGCCAGCCTGCCACCTGCTCTCTCTAGGCTGAAGGCTGCGACGGGCCACAGTCCCACACACACTTACAGGCCTTTGAGCCAGCTTCCTGGGTCCCACTCTTAAATGTGAGCAGACTGCTGAGAACTCCAGGTATTTGAGCAAAGCCTCTAACATGACAGAGACTAAAACATGAACGCCTGATACGTGCCAAGGACAATTCTATGTTGTAGGATCGAGCAGTGAACCAAACACACGCATAACACAACACACCTGGTTAATGGGCCAGGTGAATTGGTTTCCCATGATGTTGTAACAAACTAGAACCACGTCGGTGGCTTAGAACAACACAAATCCGTTTGTCTTGCAGTTCTGGAAGTCAGAAGACTGAAATGAATCCTAAGGGGCTAAAACCAAGGTGTCAGCAGAGCTGGGTCCTTCTGGAGGCTCTAGGGGAAAGTCAGTGTCCTTGACTGTTCCAGCTTCTAGAGGTGCCTATATTCCTTGGCTCATGGCCACACATCACATTGCCTTTCTCTCCATTGCTTTTGTCATCATGTCACCCTTCTCTCCTAATATCCCTCTGCCTCTCACTTATAAGAACACCTATGATTGTATTGGGGCCAACTGGACAATCCAGGATAGTTTCTCCATCTCAAGATCTTTAATCCCATCTGCAAATTCCTTTTTGCCGTGTAAGGGAACATATCCACAGGATCCGGAGATTCAGGCACGGATGTCTTTGGGGGCAGGGCTGTTATTCCACCTGCCATGCCAGGCGAGGATGAGCATTGTGGAGAACAGGCAGCAGAGAAAGAGAATGGGGAGGACCAGCATAGGGGTGGCTGCGAAGGCCTCCTGGCTTGGCAGTCAGGTGTCTTCTGAGGCACCATCCAGATGGTTTTCTCAGGTGCATGCAGACGAAACCATCATGGGATTCCTGCTCCATGTGGCCATCGGTTGCCTCAGGCATAGCCCCACAGCTCCAGTGGGACCCACATGTCCGGCCCCTTCCCATTCGCATGGGTTTCTGATGCCGTAGGTTCTGCTAAGGTCTTCCCTCACTTCCCCAGGTCCTGAGTTCTCCCAGGGTGAGCAGGAGAGCTCAGGTGGGTACCCTTCAGTCTGGCCTCATGGACATTTAACTGCCCTGTATTCAGCCAAGGTGATAGGGCCTGAGGATGTCACTGTCCCCCAGCTGCTCAAATGCTTGCAAGCTCTCTTCCTCTTCTAATATTCACTTGGCAATTCTATGGGCATCGGAGAGAGGGTTTCAGGTGTGTGTGCTCAAGCGCCATCCTCCTCCAAATTCCTCCAGCCTGTTATTCCTGAAAGGAATGACGTGCCACACAGTGAGTGTGTACTGTGATGACAGCCATCGAGGATGGTTGGATTCCCTTCCTTGGGTGCATGTGCTCTGACCTATGAGCCAGCACCCAGAGCTGCCCAGTCGACGAACCTCGTGCTCCTTGAGTTTTGAAAAGTTTGCCTATGTTTTTATGTTTCCCGTTAAAAAGCTCCTACACCACACTCATAGCTCATTTTAGAAAGGATGTGACATTGAAAATTTGATTGTAGTGACATGCCTGTCTTTCCAGTGCTCAAACAGAGAACTTTTTGCTAATTGCAGAACCCGCCTTCCATAAAGAGACGGCGAGAGGTGATTGTGTTTCCATTTTTCTCAATAGAACTTATGTTTTGCTCCAGGGTAGAATTGAGAGGTCCTTGCTATCTATGGGAAAGGAAATGTTTATTTTGGAAACAAACACACAGGACAGAGAGGATAAAATTCTTTGCCTGATGCGTCTTAGTGTGTCGTTGGAGCACGTATAGTCTGGGGTGGGCCGGTTGTAAGAAGGCCCTCTTCTCAAGTGTGGGCAAGGACGGAGGAAGGTTCTAGAGAAGGAGGTGAATGGTCCACCTCGTGCCGGTGTCCTTCACTTCTCTCTTCCCCTTGCCCTTTGCAGGAAGATGAGGATCCTTGTGCTTCTGCTGTTGTTCCTGTGTGAGACCCAGAGCTGTGCAACGTCAAGGCCAAACTTTGTCCTGCTGATGGCTGATGACCTTGGCATCGGAGATCCTGGGTGCTATGGAAACAAGACCCTCAGGTTGGGTGACATGGCTGCTCTGTAAACACATGGCTTCGTTCATAGGCAGTAGTCCCCAGTGACGGTGAACGCCCGTTTACAGAACTACCGAGCGCAGCCCATGTGGAAACATTTAACACCCTCCATACTGCACACTTTGATGTGTGACTTCACATGGATGCATATGGATCTAGACGTTAGGAAGGCAGGTGTGACTTTATCTGGTTGAGTAAGTGTAGTCAGTTGGATAAACTCAGATCACTAGGAAGATATTTGTAATAAATGTTTCTTGCTCGCCGCCACTACGCTGCTTTTTTCACATCCTCCCTTATTTCTTCCCTTTCTTCCCTCTTCTGTTCTGACTTTGTTCCAGTTGGTGCCCCATCCCATCCCAGCTTGTCAAGCACTCACTCTCCCCTCCACACCTTCCTTCCCTTCCTTGCCCAGGCTGTTCTCAATCATCAGCCAGCCACCCTGGCTGGGGACAGATGTCTCAGGGACACACATCATGTTGCATGATGGCAGAATTTTCACCAGCCAGGGATGACTGCAAAGGTAGGAAAAACACAATGGGAGCTGGACTTAGGGACAGAGGAGGGCATTTGCTTTCTAAGCCCTCTGCATAGAACCAACTTAACATAAGAAGTACTTTAAGGGCCCTTTGTTTTAAAAAGGAAAGTTAGTTCTTGTATAGGAGAATCTTGGCATTAGCATTGCATTTTCTCTTTATAAGAAGGAGGAAACCATAAGATAAAAGTAGTTCTGTGAAGAGCTTCATGTCACAAATGATCAATACAAACTGAACTAAAGGAGAGGATGGGGAAAGAGATCATTTGCTTTTACTAGAATTTTCTCGTAAGATCTCTGAATAATCACTATCTGAAGCCGGGATGGACCCACTGCTAAGTGCCATGGGACACTGATTTATTTTCATGCCATTTCCTCTGGCTCCTCATCTTCTTTGCAGCATGGCTATTTGTCTTGGGATGTGTATTTCATCGTTATGTGTCAGATCAAACAAAAATTAAGTAAATTATTCTTCTGAGGAGAAGGAGGCCCGCGAGACATAGCCAAATATATATCAGTTCCAACCTGAATCTTCGCATCAAATGTTGCTTGTCATTTTTAAAATCTACACTTACCTAGGACAGTTGTTGGATTTGTAAAAGCAGGTGCAGGCATATGATTTGCACTCAATGCTCTCTTAAAATTTTAATTGACCATGTATGTTTTCTGCCCAACATTTTGCCTCATTTTGTAAAAAGTTTAGATCTTACTTTTTGACATTTGCAACACAAACTTTGTTAGTAATTTAATTTTTCTTGTCAGGGTCATAATTTCCATTTGGGTTTTTTTCATCTTATATATTATTTTAAATATCATATAATAATAAATATAATTTTAATATAATATTAGATATAATATTAATAAAGTTTACTGAAAGAATAGATAACTGTTCCTACTAAGATGTCTTAATTAAAAAATTATAATCAAGCCTTTAAGGTTCCATGTCTACCAATTATCAAAAGAAAAAAAAGTCTATAAAATCCCAAGGAAGAATTCATGTCAATATCTACCCTAAATCTGTCTTACTCTTAATGTTAAATTTCAGTTCTTTCTGAATTACGTTTTTCATTTTATATTTTGTAACATCACACCCAAAGTAGTCAAATGTTTCCGCTGGGCCAATGTAGGCAATAGGAGGTTTAAGTCAAATACACAGGCAGATTCAGTTTTCTAAACCTTCTAAATCTTGTGATTTAAGGCAAAACCAAATATTGACAGTGGAAATATTGACAATTAAATGCATAAATGAAACTCATAGATGGGAGACTAGTTTGACATTGCAAATGCAATGAAAAGATCTTCCTGTCAAGCTGTGCATTAATGCATAAGGTGGCTGTGGGGCCACTATGAATAAGAAGCATGCTCCCACTCCACAGGCTACCATCTTGTGGTGCAGAAAAATTAGGCTTGCCATCCTTTTACAGTGAGGAATCTGCCGTGATAGGGAAGTATGACGGATGCCCTACACATGGAACAGACCCCTCCCAGAGGACAAGGGAGACCATAGGAGGCCCGTGAGAATTCCATCTATGCCCAGAACTGAAGGATGGAAGATGACAAGCCTGGCAGAAGAGTCAGTGGCTGAGGTTTCCAATGGAGGATATGGGATAGGAGCTTGGCGTGGTACAAGAACTGAAACACGTTCGTTTCTGAATGCCTAGGAAGTCTGGAATGAGTTCCTAAGATGATCCATCAATCCATTCCTGGAGAAAAGGCACCAGGGTAGCTTGTCTTGCTCAATGCGTCATCCTAGAAGTGAGCCCATAAATAAGTATTTATTAAGTGTAAAAAACCATGAGCCAACAAACCATGCGAGTGATTCACAGCATGTTGTTTTTTCACATTAACATGTGTCCCTTTTTCCTGGACCATATTAACCCATTTGTTGCTGTTCATTGGTAAATACCCATGGAGTCCCATTATTCCTTTCTCCCTGGGGTCATGTGGAAATTAGGCAGAGGCTGGTGAGAAATGGTTGGGGGCCTCCCTTAGCCTGTGGTTGGGAAGAGAGGGAGTCAAGTTTTCCCCAGGGCTTTCTCTTTTGGGGGCACAGAGGTAACTGGAGGGACATGGGTGGGGGAGGAATGAGGCCTTGACCCATCTCACTCTTCCTCCTCTCCCCTTTCTTCTCTCAGCAGCCCATTCTCAAGACTTGGTTCCTCTCTGCTAACCCCTCTGAGGGTGTGGGTGGGCCCCCTAGAAATCTCAGACCTGCATCATTTAAACCTCAACATGGTTTTCTTCTCATTCTGAGTCTTGGTTCTGTGTTGCCTCTCCCTTTCCTCCCCTCTCTCCCACCTCACACAACCCCCTGCAACCTTCATTTCCCCAGATTATTGAGAGGCCACTCAGTATAAAAACCACAGAGAAAGCTTCATTTTCAAGGTCATCCTGAATGACATGATTCTTTTGTTCTAGGACTCCCAATATTGATCGGTTGGCTGAAGGGGGAGTGAAACTCACTCAGCACCTGGCAGCATCACCCCTGTGCACACCGAGCAGGGCAGCCTTCATGACAGGCCGGTACCCCATCCGATCAGGTAACCTCCTGGCTCCATCACTGTGACCGTCATCCTCCTCAGGCATCCCCCAGCTCCTGTCTTACTGGTCGATTTCTCCTGCTTCAGGAATGGCATCTCAGTCCAAAGTGGGAGTTTTCCTCTTCTCAGCCTCTTCTGGAGGACTTCCCACCAGTGAGATTACATTCGCCAAGCTTCTGAAGAATCAAGGCTATTCAACAGCTCTGATAGGTATGGGCAGCTGAGGAGGGGGAGGTGAGGGTGTGAGTGGTGTGAGGGGGAGAGCGGGAAGGGCATGAGAGCAGGCTTCTTAAGGATGACATTGCTGATACAGTGGCACAACATTAAGTAGGGGAGAAATGATTTCAATTCTCAATTAAAATACAATGCACCTATCTGGGCTATTTGTATGTGTAGATATGTGTCATTATATATGTATGTGTATGTATGTGTGTGTGTGTGTGTATGTATAGATGGATGGATAGAGAGAGAGAGACAGATAGATGATAATGAAAGATGGATGGACTGATGGATGTATGGATAGATGGAAAGATAGATGAGATAGGTGATAGAGACAGATCAATAAATGAAATGGATGGATGGATGGATGATGGGTGGGTGGATGGATGGATGGATGGCTGATGGATGAGATACACAGATGAGACAGATGATAGATAATAGTTAAAAAGATACATAGATAATTGTACACACATACAGAGCATAGAAAGCAGCATATACACACCAGGCTATTGATAAAGTTTTTTATTTCACATTTCAATACTCGAATTGTGTCAGAATTTGTCTCAGTTGACGTTCCCATGGATTTTATTCCATTGACAGGGATGATGCCTTCTCCCTTTTTACTTGGTAAGCATGGACCTGCAGGTCATCAGATGAATCCTAGAAAATCTCATAGGAGCAAAATGACCATTCTCTTTCCTCCCACATCTTGTCATAAAACCGTCATCGTTTTTTCCTTTGTGAAGCACACACTAATTTAGTGGTATAATTGACATTTTATAAGAAATGTTCATAGATATTTAAAATAACTGCTGTGTTATGAGTATGATCTCCTCATGCCTCAGGGTTAATTTTTTGAGAAAGGATTCATTCCCACTTTGAACATTCAAGGAACAAAATCAAGTTGGTTCTAAGACTTTAATTTTAAGGACATGTCTTTAAGAAACATCTGCCCCTGGGGCCAGCCCTGTGGCCCAGTGGTTAAGTTCAGCACTCCACTTCAGTGGCCTGGGTTCAGTTCCTGGGCTTGGACCTACACCATTTGTCCGCAGCCATGCTGTGGCAGCAACCCACATAAAAACAGAGGAAGAGTGGCACAGATGTTAGCTCAGGGTGAATCTTCCTCAGCAAAAACAAAAATATGCCCCAGAAAAACTTGTGTTTTTCAAGGTAATTTTGTCTCCTGTCTATTAAATATGTTAGGTGTTTGTGTTTTGTTTTGTTTTATTTTGTATTTCCCTATCACTAAATTAGTTCTTGTTTTCTGGTAGAGTGAGTGAGTTGTTTGTGGAACAGGAAGTGAAAACCTGTAGGGTCCTATCGAATAGGACTTTTGCTCATAAATATGAAGAAAGATCTTGCTTTTCAGCATGTGGGAATCAGAAGCTGACGTTTAAGTCAGGGTGTTTGTTGGGACTAAACATACCACCCAATTGTCTTGTCAGGGAAGTGGCACCTTGGGACCAACTGCCACAACAAAACCGACTTTTGTCACCACCCTTTAAGCCATGGCTTCGATTATTTCCACGGGCTCCCTGTGACCAACCTGAGAGACTGCAAGCCCGGAGAAGGCACCGTGTTCACCACAGGCATCAGGATGCTGGTCTCTGTCCCTCTTCAGCTCATCGCCATCGCTCTCCTCACCCTGGCGGTGCTCAAGTGCCTGGGGCTGCTCCCTACACCTGGCCTCGTCTTCTTCTGCCTTCTCTTCCTGGCCGCCGTGATACTCGGCCTCGTAGTGTGCTTCCTGTATTACTTCCGGCCCCTGAACTGCTTTCTGATGAGGAACCATGAGATTACCCAGCAGCCCCTGTCTTACGACCACCTCACGCAGAGGCTGACGGAGGATGCGGCCGAGTTCATACGACGGTTGGTATTGCCTCTTATGCTGATGCTGCCTTCCCATGAAACGTAACGCTCCAGTATTTCCATGGAGGTGGAAGAACCAGGGAGCTCCTTCTAGCCACGTTTCCCCTTCCATGCTTGGTAGATGGCTGCCGCCAGGCTCTGTGGAGGAGGGATATGGAAAAGGAAATGGCCCATGTTGGGTTTTTAGCAACCACAAGCAGGTTCGTTTTCCCCAATGCTCTCCAGAAGAATCAGATGCCGAGACAAAGGTCTTTAGCAGAAAGAAAGGACTTTATTGCAGGGCAGCCAAGCAAGGAGACAGGAAGCAAAGCTCTCAAATCAGTCTCCTCTAGTGGCTTTTGTGGGGGATATTTATGAGGGGAGTAGGGAGTAGAAGGGAGGGAGTAGGAGGGCGTTAGGGGCTGAAGTTTTCAGAGTCCTCTGCACAGGCATGAGTGTTTTTCATATTTCTTCATGGGTCGTAGATGTAAATCTGGGGGAGTTCCATGTGTTACATGTGGTGGATTTTTGGCCTATGACGTGCAAAGTTTACTGATAGGTCATTCTGGTTGCTCAATGCACTTGCATGATGTTTGGTTGAAGGAGGTTGTCAGCAAGTCGTTTCCTTATCTTCAATGTCCTTGCCATTCTGCAAGACAAGCTCAGAAACTTTGGTTAATTTGTTTCTTACTTTAACCTTGTGGGCATAGGGTATGATTTCAGGGTGGCCTCGGAAAGGAGTTGGGATGCAGTGTGCTCTCCTTTGAGTGGCTTTGCCAATATCACTCCCGTCCTGTGCTTCTGAGGCCATGCCAAAAAAAATGTCTGCTGGATGATCAAAGGGGCTTCGCATATCACCATGGTCTTTAATCTTCAAGTGTGCGACCAGGAGAGGAAAGGTCACTGTGTGTTGTGTAAGGGTGGAGGTCGTCCTTGTGATGTAAACAGTGTAGAGAGATCCAAAAGATTCTAGGCAGATTTCTGAGCAAGACAACTCTGTGAGGAAACCGTGGAGTGAGAGATCTCTTTTGGGGTCTGTTTGGTCCCCTTTAGTTCAGCGTGTTGAGGGTTGCAGGCAGCAAAGGGAATAACCTTCAGCTGAGTAATTGACAACAATGCTGAGTAGAGTCTATAGCAGAAACACTTGCTGTGGAAAACAAGCAAAACTGTTTTGATCCATGTGTAACTTTGGAGAAAAATGGAAATTTCGTCTGAGAATCAGACGTTTGGTCTTTGTGGTTACGTGCCATGCCCATGCAGAGAGCTGGTCTAATCCAGGCACCAAATACTGGAGAAACCAATTGCTCCTGGCAAAATGGCACGATGAAAGACATCATGTGATTCTTAAGGAGGAAGAGTATTAAAACTGAAGATCACCAATCTTACCTCTAGAGATTCCTATTGAGTAGTTCTGAGGTAAGGCTACACATCTTCATTTTAACAAGCTCCCCAAGAGAGTCTAAAACGGGTGTCCCATAGGACACACTGAGAAACACTGGAGCATATATGGATTTTTGCTATAAGGGATAAAGGTCACAATCATTATTACACCCCTAGATTTTTCTAGAAGGTGATGCTCATAGGTGATCTAATGTAAAGGCTTTAACTTTATAAATATACATTTTGCATCATCGTCCGGTAAGAAGTACACAGATATTTCACTGAAACAAAAGATTCCTGAAATGATCTTTTTCTTACCAGAGTGATTACTTCTGATTCTTTCTATCCTATTCTGTTCTGTTTTATTTTAAAAAGAAATTATCAGGCCAGCCCCAGTGGCCTAGTGGTTAAGTTTGGTACACTCCACTTTGGTGGCCCAGGTTTGGTTCCCGGGCATGGACCTCCCCCACTGGTCTATCAGTAGCCATGCTGTTGTGGTGGTTCACGTACAAAAAGAGGAAGATTGGCAGTGGATGTTAGCTCAAGGTGAATCTTCCTCAGCAAAAAAAAAAAGAAAAGAAATTTTCTGGTTGTGACACTCAATGTCATGACTCAACAATGGGTCACAGTCATAGTCTGCATAGGTTGACAAAGCTCTTATCTCGTGGGTTAATCTTACTGTATTTTATAAATAAGAGAGCATCCATTCCAAGATAGAATGGTGCTTCATGGGATGGCAGACCTATCCATTTAAGCCGAATCACCACCACAGTCTACCATTTGGCAAATTTGCCGAGCACTCTCATGTCACTCTCTGTCTAATAGCAATCTCTCAGGAACATAAGGGGAGGAGATTAATAATATAATGCCCATTATAAAATGGCAAGGTTCAGAAATGATATTCAGCTTCCAGGGTGAATAACTTTTTTACAACATGTGGTATTTTGACAGAAATGGTTGAATCTGTAAAGTCTAGGAAGATTTGTATAATTACAAGGCATTTTAATGGGTTACTCAGCATTTGATTTGGGGAGGGGACCAAAATTAATTTGATTGTCCTAAGGGTATAGTAGCCCAACCACTTTGTCTTGATTATGTTGACATTTCTGTAATTTTTTTCTAGAACTAGAGATTCAAGATGTTCTAGCGACACCATAGTTGGAGGTTATGATTATGGTTACTGAGTCATAACAAAAGGGTTTATTCTTCAAAATAGATGATTCTACTGTAAATGGCTGTTGCCCACAATGGAACAATGTACGCATGGTCAATATTAGTGAAAATACTAGCATTTGTATACCACAATGCTATTCACAAAAAGCTTCTCACATACATTATCTAAAGGTGCAAACATTTAAGGCATCTAGGTAAAATCATCCTCCGGTAAAATTGTCCTCTGTGTTGTATTATATATCTGATTCGCTGAATGTGGAATCTAAGAATCTTGAGAGAATGGCCTTAATATGCCACCCAAGAATCAGAACAACAGTGACACCACCATATTTATAAAAAATATTTTTCAAGGGTCTGAGGACAAATTCATAGGTGTTAGCTCATTGATCAGAATATCCTGAATAATTTAGGTGGGTTTTACCACCTTTGTGAGAAATGGATTTAGAGTTAGTCAGAAGCAGGAGAAGGAAACCCTCATCAAAGCAATGACAATGTCTGTGAAATTTGTTCAAATGCTTTTGAATTTGAAATTTCCCAATTGAAACTCGTGCCTTATTTCGATGTATTAACATGAAAAACAATTTTTGAGTACACAGCTCCCCCTCAGCTCGTATGTCAAAGTCAATGAGGAAAATAATTTAAACTCTTACTTATAAAATTTATATTCTTTCTCTAAGCCTTGTTGCTGAAATGATTTATACTCAAGGGCTTGTTCTCAAGATGCTAACTTGAGATGTGAAAATATGAATGACAGGGGCGGGAAGCAAAGATGCTTCATTGGTTTGAGATGCTCTCAAATGAGGTCTGCCTAGCCAAATTTGGGACGTGCCCTGAGATTACAAGTGTGGATTTCCAAGCTGAGGAGAGTGATGGTTTGGAATATATAACCATGCACCCTAATCCCTTACCCTAATTTACCCTTTTATCTTGGAGAGATGCTTCTACTGTTAAAGAGCTAGATAGTTAGCTCACCACGTGTTGTAAGCTGTATAGTAATTCAAGAGACGGGTCATCCTTAATACACTTTAATTAGCAAGAAATCCTTGTTGCTCTTACAGGGAGGAATGAACTGTAGATTTTTAGAGATCCCCAACCCTTCTGATGCACCCTAAATGAAGGATCCTCCAGTCATCACAGCTTTTTCCCTTTGCCATTACTATTTTCAGTGCTCAGTAAAACAGGTGCAACTTGGGTGCACAGCGCAAATCATGGCACAACACAGGGCATGTTCAAGTGTAACTGATGCTTGATAAGTGGTTGCCAATTATGCATCAGGTACTGTGGATATACATGTCATCTTGGCTCATTTCCCACTCATCACCTCTTTCATGCTGTAAAACAACCTTGCAAGATGGGTAGAAAGATGTCATCTTGCGGAGGAATTTGGGGCTCAAAACTTTGGAGTGATAGCGAAAACCCCACAGCTAATAGTAGAAACTGGATTAAAAATCACAGCTACATCTCTGGGAAGCCTCTCCCCGGTGTTGAAGTAGACTGTAAGGAGGTTGGTGCCTTCTTTGCTCTGCCATCTGCTCTGCCAACTTACTGATAAGGTCCGAGTACGTATTAGTTGGAAGAAGACGAGAATCGTACCAGTGTCTCAACACCCCTTCTCCAAGTGGAAGAGTCCAGGTCTAATGCCACAAAAGGAGAATGCATCCTGGTAATTCTTACATAAGCTCTAAGGTCAGTAGTACAAGCATTACCCTGGTGATGGAGAAGTATGTGGGTATTCTGAAAAGAAAATAAAGGCTACATGGTGATGGGTGAATTTAGCCAGTTAATTTTATTCCCAAGTAGTCTTTCTTTAGTTCAAGTCAAGGCTACCTTGAAAAAGATGTGATATCAGTGGGTAGAACAAGATTCACATTTCGCATTGCCCTCAGTAGAGAGACGTGAACCTTGGGCATTCTGCTGCGTGGAGAGCCAGATGTGTCAGCCCCTTTCCTCCTTGAATTTGCTGAAAACAGTGCTTCATTACTAGGAAAAACATTTCAACTGAAAGAAACCACTCTGTTTTTCTCTGCAAATATACACATGTTCACTTTGAAGAGGAAGTTTCCAAGAACAATGATGACTTTATTATAGACACCCACGTAATGTGTATAGTTTATAGTATCCAGTTAGTGGATTTATAAATTCATATGAAATTTACCATGAGTATTCTGTTCTCCAGGCCCCAGTTAATGTAAGTTATATTAACATATTCAATATATGCGTGTGTGTATTTTAAGAAGCTATAATTAGAAGTGAAATAAATGCTAATAATTTTCAGTTAAGCTTAATGTGGGATATCTCTTGTATCTTTAATGATGGGTCTACTGGAAAACAAATCCAAAATCTGGAAATGACGTAGAGTGCTATTTTTAATCTCTGATTTCCCGGAGTGGTAAGATCTCCTTTTTCGGACTTTAACAAACCCTGATCCCTGACTACTCTCCACAGGGAAGCCACCATAACATCAGAAG